ACAGAGAGACGAGACGGGCACAGAGAGACGAGACGGGCACAGAGAGACGAGACAAGCGCAGAGAGACGAGACGGACACAGAGAGACGAGACAGGCACAAGACTGAAAGGATAACAGAAGCTGGACACAAAGGAGACACTGCTATGACAAAAATGCAAAAACAACAGAGTCCCTAGAAAATAACATTTTCAGGAACTAGAAGACGATTATCTTATAAAGGAACAAATAAAAAGTTCAGAACCAAACTTCAAACCCCGGGTGAACCCAAGGACCCCGGCAGGATGATGACGGATGCCCCAATAGCAACTGAACCTGTGTTTGTCCTTAGGGTTGAAGTTCCTACTAAAATGCGTGTGGAGCGCTGGTCCTTCAGCTTATTCGAGCTGCTGACTGATCTGCGAGGGCGAGATGACTTCAAGATTTTCCTTAAGAAGGAGTTCAGTGGTACGTCAACAAATGTCGTTCATCACAGTTTCTCTTCTTGGTAGAGTTGAGAGTTCTGCATGACTAAACAACTACAAGCATGGAGTTTTATCCATGTTTAGCTAAATATAGTGAAGTTTAGGACAAATTTATACTTCATCATGGTGATGGGTGGTAGATAAAACAAAGGGAACATGGATGTTTCAACTAAACTGTGAAGCACCCACGTCAGCCATATTTCTTTCACAATAAACATCAGGACCCTTATTATTCAGCATAGAGCTCATTTGTATTTATTCAGTCTTCACAGTTTATTTTAGTTTTGTCAGATCTTCGTGCCAACGATTGTGGAGAGGTTTCCATAATTTGACAAATAATGTTACACTTTGGCTCCACTGGTTGGGTTAGATGAACCACCAGTGTCTTATAGTGTCTTACTATTTATATTTTATTCCTGCACATTTGGCGTGGAGCCCCCATGATTTTGTTGTACATGTACAATGACAACTCCGTAAGTCAGAAAACTGTCATATTTATTAGGATCTAATGTGGTATATGGTGTGTGCACATCAGGTGAGAACTTGGCTTTTTGGGAAGCAGCAGAAGAACTGAAGTGGGGAACCGCATCGTCTATGTCAACAAAAGCTGAGAGCATCTTCAAGTAAGATGAATAATCTAACCTCATTCTTCTTTCAATTCAATTCAATTCAATTTTATTTATATAGCGCCAAATCACAACAAAAGTCGCCTCAAGGCGCTTCATAGATACAGAGAAAAACCCAACAATCAT